TTCTACAGATCAGTCGTTGTTAAGGGTGTTTGCCAAGTGTTTTTAGATACTTCTCCTTGGCGTATTTTCACGTGCTTTGAAGGGGTCAAGCTGGAGGAGGTGGAGAGGATGTGGCTCATTTCTGCGCATCTTCGGTCGCCTGAATCCACTTAAGGTGCCTTAATTGTCAGTTTGGCAGTGAAAGACCATACAGCCATTGTCGTACCCTTTTTCTTGTTATTAGTAATATAAATTACAGTAATTTCTGAAGGTTTTTGAACCGCTCAATGAGTCCCCGTTCTTTCTTTTTTATTAACAGTGTGATTTTTTTTAATTTGTACGTTTTGAAAAAAAACAAGATGCACGAAAATAAACAAGGACATTTTGTTACTCCTGGTATGAACTGAATAAAATTTCCTTTCAAATCTTTCGTACGCCATGGCGATGATGTCCCAGATTTTCCCAAAAATTTGTCTTCATCTGCATCGCAAACATTATGGGCGTGGTAGAGCCATGTCCATGAATGGCAGTTTTAGAAATGAGTGCAGGACAGTGGTGATCTTTATTGAAGGTTGGTCCACTCGGTGTCCGGTAGGACGTGTAGCCGATATCTGTACAGGTACGTCATCCAAGTATCAGCAGAAGCTCATACGATAAAATTTGCTCAGGGGTGGTGTGGTTAATGCGGCAAGTTAACGGTTGCTGAGTTAAGATGAAACTTTGAAATACTATAAGTGTTAGTTTGATTAGTGACTAGGCGAAAATTACATGCTTAATAACTGCGTGTCGCAAAAATAGTGTTTTGTTGAGAAACAGGAGAAAACTTTTTGTTAGGTCCTCTATATCTTTTGCTTTTAAACTAATCATTAGGTGATTTTGTATTGGGAATGCATGCTTTTTTATTGTGTCCGTTTTTGGTAAGGCTTTTCAATATTATTTTGTTTGTTAACAAATTTAGAAGGGAAAACTAACTTTTAAATATAGAGCGCAAATGAAATTAAGCTTCAAATATGACTTGTATTTCCCTCTCAATTATCCTGTTTCATTCATTTTCGTTGATTTTTTTTACTTTTAGCCTTCTCTTTGGAGACTTTTTCTGAAATTTGAAAAAAAAAATAGGTAGTTTGGGAGCGACAGTAGCTGTAGGAATAGTTTTGGTTGCCGATTTGAAAAGGAAATAGAAGAGAAAAGTTTGTGGCTGTCGAAACAAGTTTCAAGTGAATTTGACAAACAGTGAATTATTGCTACATTCTCTGACTTCTCTTGTAGGGAAATATTCCTGGTCCGTTTTTTACCTCTCAATTCAAACTTTATGACCTTCATTTCTTAAGCTATCAGTAGTTTTGGTGTAGAATTTACATTCTCTGCCACAAATTTGTTCCTTCTTTACTTCTTTTCTTTCGCTTGTTCTTCTTCGTTTCCTTATTTTTTTCTTCTATTTATTTATTTTTTCTTCGACTGATGTCGGTACTACTTTGCAAATTGCACAAACTACTTGTAATCTGCAGGAATTGCATATGCAGTTGCTGCTTCGTGAAACTGCCAAGCGGCAGTAATTTCGCGGTAAATTCTCAGTTGCTTAACGAGACTTTTGGTCACAGCTTTTGTTGCTAACGTTACAACCCAAGTTTGGGGTTCACGGTCGAGTTTTCGAGACGGTGGTGGAAAGATCGAGGTGCAAAGCGAGAAATACACTTTGCCGCTTTTCCCTGTTCCTCGGCAGTAACGGCGGCCACGATGCGCAGTGAGACCTGTGGAATGATCCCTGACAAAAACTGGTTTCATTTTTGCACTGAGCATAACTCAATATTTTTTTCTCTTTAGTATTTACAACTCAAACATCAAAATTTGTTTTACTCAAAAACATTTCTGCGGGAAAACAGAATTATCAAAATTCTTTTTTTCTTTTTTTGTTAGTGCAGGTATACTTTTCATACCGGCGACTTGTCAGCTCGTTTTTTCGCTAAAAACTCATCTTTAGTCATGAAAGTATCAGTATTTATACAGACATAAACAGGTATTATATTTAATTAACATTATATTTATTAAGTATGGGAACGAATATCCTAATTAATGTTTTAGAAGTGTTTTTGGTGACTTATTGGTCCCTTGTATTTAAATGGGTTTGAAGTTAAACAAATTATTTTATTTTTATTTGCCGGCGGACTATATTTTTCTGTGGGCCTAATCATTCAGTAGCATTTTAAATTATAGCTATTTCGAGGAAAGTTTTTTTTTTTTTGAAGTACGGTAATGTGAGGGAATTGGCATGCGATAGGCTTTTTTTGTTTTGTCAAGGATTTGCCTCTTAAGCTGAACTGTTCATTTCGATGGTTTTTTAGGGGGGTAGGTTTTTCTCTTAATTTTTACAAGAAGAAATATGTAATTTTGATTTTCTATCGTTGTTCCTGTTGTTTTTGTTTTATTGTTGTCGTCGTCATCGTCTAATTCAAAAATCCGTTTTATTGAATGTATTCCGTAACCATCAAACAAGATGAATGATTGCGCATCGCTAAACAGAAGCAAAAAAGAATCCCTATCTGTCCGAAACTTTTTCAAAAAACTAACCCGCCTCTGTTTCTCTACAAAGAGTTGCGCTATAATTTTGGCAATTATGTTAAAGATATTTGATGGTTTTCCGTCATACACCTTTGCCTTTGGGCTACAAATTTTTGGTTTTTTCTGCCGCAAAATTTGATGGCTTTTTTGGTTGTTGGGTAAAGCAAAGTTTGCTGTGACAAACTGCTGAACGTTTGATAGGAGATCTTGATAAGGGGAGAGGGGAAGAAAGGGGGATGGGAGAGGAGAGGGGGAGAATTGGCGTTCAATGTTTTCATCGGTGTGGTGAAAAGACGACTGCGCTCTCTCCCCTTCCCCTCCTCTCCCTGTATAGGCACTCTGTACTCTCCAGTCGGCGTACAGTCCCTTAAACCAGCTTTTAGGACCCCTGACTCTGGTTGCTCAAAAACCCAAACTCTCTTTAAATGTTTTGTAAATTTAAAGCACAATTTTTGTGTGCCTACGTTTTGTTTGACGATGGTGCCGATGTCGGCGATTGTCGGAGGCTGTTGGCAATGGCGATGCCAGTGCCGGGGTAGGTGGATGAATTCTAAGTAGCACTGAGGACCGGAGATCGGTATCCTTACAGGAATGCAGTCAGAATTTTTCTACATTTTTTCCAGTCTACTAATCTGCAGACTGATGAGGAAGAAGAAGTTTTTACTGCATAACTCCTGATTTGCTATGCTAATATTGTTCAGCTCTAGTTTCTGAGTTTCTTTGTTGCTGAGATATTGAAGTTTCAAAGATGAATTTGAATTGGAATGGGCGCTACAATTTTTTTTTCTTTAATTTTAGTTAAGACATATTGGGGTTTGCTCACTCATCCAACCTTCTAGAATGCCTGTACTGTTTTTCTAAATCATTGTTTTTTTGCATAATGATTCATCCGCCAGATGTAACTGTACCCGATTTATATTCGCTTGCGCTCACTTGTTTATATTTTTTTCTGTTATAAATGCTTTGGAAAAATTAACTGAAAAAGTTTCTATGTCTCAAGTGGTTGTTATTGGAGAAGAAAGAGACAGGCATTTGTATTGTTTCACTCAGTTCACATTTTGTGCAAACTGTGGCCATATTGACAGCTTTGATAGCAATATGTTTAACTCATAAAATTTGTACCGCAACATTCGTCGGCTATATTCCTTTTTTTTAGTAATGTTCACTCGTTATTGTTGTGATTGAATACTGCCTGTTCATCTTGGTTTTCAAATTGTTTTTTAGCATTGACCACTTCGAAAAAAAAAAAATTTTTGATTTTTCAATTTTGTTAAGGCTTAGAACGGAGGAATCTGCTCCGTTGTTTCTTCACAATCTTCGTTGCGTTTTCCTTCCTTCTCACTTTCCCCTCCTCGTTTCTTTTTTCTATTAAATATTATTTGGTATTTAGAGAAAATTTTAAAAAGCCTAAATTAGCGCTCATATAGGGAGAGAAAGAAGTTGTTTTTGTTGATAATTTGCAGACGGGTTAGGGCCTGCTGATGGATCCGTATTCAATGGTTCTGACACAACGGCGCCAGTGTTTTGTTGCCGGTGGTTTGGTTACTTTGCTGCCCCCGTTCAATGGGCAAATTTCGTTGCCAAACTGCTGGCTTTTTTGCTCCTTCTTTCCCCTCTTTGTACGTACTCCGTTCCTTCCCTCCCCTAGTTCTCCCTCTGTTGTTCCCTGTTTTGAGACCAAAAAAGCTACTGCGTTTGTGCCTTGTTGCCGACAACATTTCCTTATTCTTCAATTAAATACATCTCTAATACGGCTGGCAATTTCTTTGGTTATCTAGCTGTATGAGTACCAATTTGCTTTTCATAAAGCTAGACGACCGAAGTAATGGCTACTGTGCTCCC